CCCTTTAAGGGGTACCCCTAATAATACTACCTACTCTAAGCCAACACCTTAAGAATCCAAAGGCCATCCCCTAAACCCTAAACCCTAAACCCTAAACCCTAAACCCTAAGCCCTAAACCCTAAACCTCGGACGGGAGTCTTTCCCATCTCGGGGTTCCTTGCCTAAGGTAGAGCACAGGCACCCAGGCGGCAGATGACGACGCAAGACTGTATCTGTATGGGTAGTTGTCAAAATTANNAATTAGGGTCCCTTTTGGGGTACCCTGAATAATAGGTGCCGTATTATAATAAGGACCCCAAAAGTTGACAACCACCCGTATGTGTTCCGATTCCAATCCTTCATAATCCGGGGGGAACCCCTAAAGCCTGTAAGCCCCAGAGCCGTTGGGTGGCAGTGTTGGGAGCTTCGCGGGATGCCAGGTAGGGAGTTTGCGATTAGATTTGGGAAAGTTGATGTCTGGAATCCGAGGAGATCAGCAACCACAAGCACTACAACCACAACAGCAGCATCAGCATCAGCATCAATAGCAGCAACAAAAACAACAACATCAACACCATCAACAACATCATCAACAACACCGCTACCAACACCAACACCAACACCAACACCAGCCAGCCAGCCAACCCACCCACCCACCAACCAACCAATCAACCAACCGACCGACCGACCGACCATAACCACAACAACAGTCACAATAAACATATCAATAACAGTAACAAACATCAGCAGCATGATGCCCCAGGGTTCCCGATTATTTATTGAGAGCCTATACGAATTACGAAGCCCCGCACGTCTGGCCTCGCTCGAAGTTTCGTGGGTCTAGGGTTCTTGTCATTTCTCTTCCAAAAAGGCATAACCTATCGCTTTCTGCCCCGGCCCATTGAGCCCAAAGACCCTCTGATTTCATCTAGTTCAACCAGCATCCCTGAACTTGAAGGTATTGGGCTCAGCAGCAGCAAATCGGAATCACATAGAAGCCTGAATCATTGCCAATATTATTCATGCAGGCAGTATACTAGAATATTACCCCAAACCCTGTTCTACTGTTACTATTACGGCCCCTCTGTTAGGAACATGCATGCGCAGAACTGGATCGCAGACTGTGCAGCCTCTTTGTTCGGGATTTTGGGTGTCCTCCGGAGGCGGATCCTAATGTAGGGGCCTTAATAATTAGAATAGGGTTTGGGGGTATAGTATACTATCATTATAATAAGGAACCCCCAAAACCCTATTCTAATTATTCAAGCCCCTACATTAGCTGCTTCAAGAGGTTGTGGCCTGGCCTTCATTCACACTTCTACTCGTAAGGCTCCTCAACCCATCAGCTTGAAGCCCATGCCCCTACTTATTAAACCCTTAACCTAAACCCTAAACCGCTAATTAATAGACCCCTGCCTCGCCTCCAAGTTCCCAAGGCCAGGTGCACGACTCGCCCTGCACACGCATTTTGCAGTATCGCATCCCAGTTCAGAGTGGCTTAGGGTTTAGGGTTTAGGGTTTAGAGGGTTTAATCCAACCTCGTCTACCATAAAACAGCCACACCGCAGTCCTAAACGTGGCCCAAGGCTCGGCGCCCTGCGAAGGACCCCCGAATCCCTGAAGCCCTCATGAACAGCCCGGGGTTAAGGGTTTAGGGAACAACCGCTAAACCCTAAACCCTAAACCCTAAACCCTAAACCCTAAACCCTAAACCCTAAACCCTAACCCCTAAAACCCCAAACACGAATGCCCTCCGCGGGCTGTCTTGGCAGTTTGCCGGGCTCCTCCACCTCCTGATGCACTCCTTGATGCGCAACAAAGACTGGGCCGGTGTGCGAGAAGCCCAGCCTGTGGTGTGATGTGGCGCTCAAGGCTTCGGAATTGCGGATATCTTTGGGGCTGTTTAGGCAGTTTAGGGATTAGGTTTCAGAAACAGGATCATAAATAGGTTCCTGTATGCTTATGCTGGTGTGCGACAGTGCGGTGTTTGCAATGTCTTGAATGCTAGAAGTGGACAGAAGTGCGACAAGGACAGAAGCTTTAAACCTTAAACCTACATCCTACATCCTCAAGCCCTAATCCTAAAACCGTATAATCAGCTTTTGACGAGAAGAAGCCAAAAGAGCAGGCTGCAGTCAACTTTTCTTCATCCTCCGACTGTCACTGATAGTAAGTGTGGATTAGAGTAGGATTCTACCGACCGGAACTTTTCGCAGTTCGTGCACAAATATGATAAATTAGCTTAAGAAACACATATCAAATCAAAGCCGTAGAATAAACTGTGAAGTAATATCGTATAGTCTAATCTATATAGCTGATGATATAGCGGCCACCTGCACAATCCCAGACTGCATTGACTTCTGGGCGTTTCTGCAGGACCTCTAGCATACAGATCCCCAAAAAAGACAAAAGCCATGCTCTGACTGCTAGAAGAGAAACTCGAAACCCTTTTCTAGTCATGAAGGCCTCTGTAAACCTAAACCTCTAATAGCAGCCCTCATATTCTCCCACTTAAGGAGCCCTTTATAGGAACCTCCTTTACAATCCTTACGGCCCATGTAGCCCTAAGCCCTATTGAACTTTATGACCCGAATCCCTATAAGCCTAACCCTAAAGCCCTACAGCCCTAAGCCCTGAACTTAACCCGAAAACTTGATAAGCCTATAATATGAGCCCTGCAACCCTAAATGCTGTACCCTAAACCCTAAACCCTATAACCCTAAACCCCAACCTCTTATAGTAATCCTTATAGATCCCTTAAGGAACCCTTACAGGAACCCTATAAGCCTATGGTGCTTCTGGCCAAGGATAAGCCTGGCCGAAGAGGTCTTCTCGAACGGAGAGTGCCAGAAGCAGCTGCTGGAGGAGGGCCTTTTGCGGTTTGTAGGGCTCTTCGGGTATTTTTGTTGGGGGTTTAGGGTTTAAGGGCTTAGGGCCTTGAGGTTCTTAGGGCTCTTAGGGTTCCAAGGGGGCTTTAGGCAATTGGGGCTTTCAGGGTGGTAGGGGTTTAGGGCTTCGGTTTTGTCTTGGGGTCTAAGCCCGAAACCCTAAACCTTAGCAATAAGGGTCCATACGCGGCCTTTCGGGTTTGGTGTTTTGGGCCTCCTGGGCTTTTGGGGTTTAGGGCTTCGGGTTTTGGGTTTAGGCTTCTAGGGTTTAGGGCTTCATGGGCCTCCGGGGCTTTTGGGGTTTAGGGCTTCGGGTTTTTGGTTTAGGCTTGGGCTTCAGGGCCTTAGGACTTTCTGGTTAGGGTTGGAGCAGGGCTTTGCCATTTTTTCTCTAGGCAGCCAGAGGGCCCTGTATGCAATCCAGCAGATGCTGCCAAGTCTCCCTTCGATGCTTATCCAGGCCGCTGAAGATCTGAAAAGCTTCTGAGACGAATTCAACCACGTATCCTAGCCCCTTAAACCCTGACCCCTAAACCCTAAACCCCTAACCCCTAAACCCCGCAGTAAGCCCCTAAACCCAAGGCCCCTAGACCCTAAACCCTAGACCCTAAACCCTAAACCCCGAACCCCAAGGCCCCTAAACCCTAAACCCTTTTCCCACCCATGGCATTGCAACAAAGAAGCCCTCGGAAGAACGCGAAGCGGGAGATCTGGAGCGTTTAGCTTGGTTGAACTTTACAGTGACTTTACTAGCTTTGTGACTTTTAGGATGAGCCTTTTTTGGTATTAGTAACCTTTAGTAATTTTAGCAAGGTAATAAAGAGCAACCCAGTTAGGAGTGAGGGTTCGGATCCCTTTCTGCGGGCTTTAGGGGTTCTAGAGCTTATAGGCTTTATAGGGTTGATATGGGGGCCTAAGAAGGCCCCAAGATTATCGGGTTGAGTTTAAGGTTCAGTTGGGGGTTTACTTTAGGGCTTACCCTAAACCCTAAACCCTAAACCCTAAACCCTAAACCCTAAACCCTCTTAGGGCTTCTAGGGTCCCTGCTGATCGTACTCAAAGGGCGGTCACGCTCTCAAACTGAGGACCTGGAGCCTTCCACCTTACACCACGGTTTAGGGGTTTAGGGTTT